ATACATACTTTAACTTATCTGATAACTATGTTATCACTGTATTCAAGTCTGGCTTTACAAATGATGAGATTGAATTTGAATGAATTAAGCAGTTCAATAAGATGATAAAAAAGTGTTAAATAAGCAGTTATTAACTGCTATTAATGAATAATTATAATTCTTATCTTATAGAAGAATTCATTCAATACTGCAATCTTCATAAGATTATTCTATTCAGATTCTTATCTTATATAAGTTATATTCTATAATCTCTTGATAATGTATCTTTTCAGCAGTATAAGCATTATTATATAAAGATAGTTAATAAGACTGTCTGCTATGAATATAAGCAGTATAATAATAGATAATTTCTTACTAATCTGAAGAGCATCTGACTACAAGTATTCAAATCTAATACTGTGAGAGCTGGCTTTACTAACTGTGAAATGTATTCAGTTAATTACAATATAATTCTCAATTAATTGAGATCTCTTATTATTGATGATGTCTCAGATCTCAACATATACAATGATAATGATAATATATATAATCACTTTACTTCATTATCTGCAGATTAACTATTAACTATCTTCTTATAATTAATCTCTTCAGAGACAGTTACAAAACTACATCACTAAATTAATACAGCAGTCAAGATCTTAGAAGATATGAAGAATACTCTTACACCTGATTTAATAAGACAGTTAAACAAGATCTTTAAGAGTAGTATGATTCAGGCAGAATTGAACATGCACTGTGAGAATGAACTTGCAGATTATTATTGAGTAAATAGATATCAGATTATTAAATCCTCTCACAGACAGATGCAAGTAGATGAAGTTCTCACTATTAAGAATGCTAATCATAAGATCATGATCTGTAAAGTAGATGAGATGAAAAAGATGTTCAATAAGACTCTTTAATTAATTGGAATCAAATCTACAAAATCTACAGTCACTCAATCACAATAAGATAATTCTATAGAATCTTAACTTACAGTGGATTCTACACCTTCTAATGAGTATATAGATAATCTTTATATTATAGATAGATGTGATGATGATTATTAATTAATTTTTGAAGATTACTATATTCAAAATATTTTCTTTACAGTGTGGTTTTCTGTACGCTGTGGCGCACTCACTACAGAGAGTGAGTAAGCATGGCACGGTTAGAGGGTGAAAGGGTGGTAGGGGTGGTAAGGGGGAGTAGAGGGACTGCGGGGCGGTAGAGGTGGTGGTGGTGGTAGAGGGGGTAGGGGGTGGGTGGAAGCAGTGGTAAGGGGGGTAGAGGTAGAGAGTGGAAGTGATAGAGGGCTGCGCAAGCAGCAAAGCGAGCGTAAGCGAGCGTTTGATGCTTGTATAGCATTATTACTCTGTCTGTATATTAAGTTACTCATACTAACCTGAAAACATCAAGACAGGCTACATGCTGAATGTTAGCCATGTGTTTTTCGCTGCAAGCACAGATCATCTTTCCTCAACAAAACGTGGTATTTCCCCCAACAGAAAAATATGAACCATTGTGAGTTTGCACAATGCATGAACGCCACCTTAAGGTTCTGGAGTAGGCCTGCGGGCGGGGATAAGAAAACAAACATCCGTGGAGATTCCAACAATAATAAATAAATATTAAATATCCCCAGAAGAAGGGACTGAGGATTTTGCATGTTTTCACACTCAGCAGCATGTGATAAATAATACTGTGCTTTTGCTGCTGAAGTTAGTTGCATGAACATTGATGAGAAAACTACGAAATTGTGAATAAGTCATGTCCTCATGATAGGAAATTGATTCAGAATTTCACATGCTATTATTCTTCTGATCCTGCAGGCAACTCATTTAAGAGAAGAGAGGTTCTGCTTGAGTCTGTGATAATAATCATGAGCTTTTTTGTTATCCCTGACAATAATAATGCAGCTATTTTCCGCCAATCAGCAGCTTCTGATTTCCCTCCCTCCCTTTGCGCCTGCAGAAACCATCCGTACGGGGTTACATCTGTACTCCGTATTTCCTTGTAATTGGTATTTCGGTACCTGAAGCTTTTGTGTGACCAATCACACAACCAATCACACAACAGCGCTACGAGCTGTTCTTGGCAGGTTCTTGTCAATTTAGTTTATTTTCAACAGAACCAATTCTGAGTTTTATTTCTATTCTTTTTTTTTTCTTTCCAGGTTGAATAAAGTTGTAATTGGCCGTTGCAAAAGGCGGTGAGGACCAGAAGAAACTAACCCTTAGACTAATCCTGGCGAACATGTTTCCGGAAGATCCTATATCTCCCCATATGATGTGTATGCACGACATCGGCGCTATGACACTCACGCTGGACAGCTTTCATACTTTCTCGAGTTCCAAGGCAAATAGAAGAAAATACAACGGTAGTACTCATGTATGGCTCGAGCACACGCCAACCGATATTAACTATCATCCATGATTTCTTATGAGCCCTCTTGTCAATGTCTGTCTGGCTGTAATTTGCAGCTGTCTGCTAATGCGCAAATGATACGGCGCAGTCTGATATGAGGGACAGACACATATCTGTAAATCAACTCAGTTAGCCGTCACCGTGTCACAGTTTCTCGGCTGTAACTTACCAGTCCCGCTCTTCCGCCGCTGTGGGGTTACGAGTTTTGGGGCGGGGAGACTTGATGATCATCCTCATCAACAGCAAGTCAGCCAGCCAGAGCCAATAATGCATGTATGAGTTCCTGTTCTACGACAGGCAAAAAAGACGTGAGAAAGCGAGTAACCCCTGTTGAACTGAAAGGGGCAACCGCAAATGCAAATGCAAAGGCATAAGGCAAAATATCAATAAGAAACACCCAGAGAAAGTTCGTTGCTTGCGCGGACAACATTCGTTCAACAATGAAATGAACTTTGCTCCTGGGGCGTATCGTAAAAACGAATTAGATACGATACCCGCCCTCATGTGCTTAAGCGGAGAAACAACGACAACCTTTGCCCAGGGCTGGGCCACGCGGAGGCGGGCAAAGAAACCCGCGCGCTTTGGCATGGGTTGGGTTGTTGGGATAGTTTATTATTATGGATGGATGTATGTACGCTGTAGATATCATACGACTCCCGCTGGACCGGACCGTGCGCTCCACCAACAGCTAGAACTTGTCATAAGGTTGGGAATTTGAAAGCTAGGGTTAATGATTAGGATTTTAGAGATATAATACAGTGTCAGACATCAAGTTTGAAACCCCTTCATCTCTATGATAACAAGATATCACACTCAAGTAATTCACAAGTGGAGTAAGCCATCTTAATAGACATATTAACAACTTTTGAGTCAATCAAAAGTTTGTTACTCGCAGTTAAGAACAAATCAGAAATCAGATTAAAATTTTAATAATCAGAATAAAGAGAGATAAATAAACAATTTATAAACTGTATCTGAAGCGAAAGTATATAGTAAATATAGTAGCTATAAAAAACTATTAATAGAAATAGCTAAGAAAATATAAAAAAATTCTATTGATGATAGTACTTATATAATCTTTAGACTATAATATTTTATTAAGTGAAGACAGATATAGAGATAGAAAATAATATATAAAATAATAATATAATATCTTTACTAGTGATAATGATTATAAAAAGCAGTTATATAGATCTTAATATTATACAGATTGTATAATCTTAGCAAGTAGTAAACTTAATACTTCTCACTGTAGAATCTTCTCTTATAAGTCTCATCATTGCTTAAGTTGTCAGTTTATTATTTAATATATATGAATTGTAAAACATCTGCTGATCAACTCAAGTTTCAGTCACTGTGCCGCGAATTAAATCTCAAATCTAGACTAAGAGATGTTGAACAAACTTATCTTATTTATTAAAATCTGCTCTCTATTTACTCTACCTCTGATCACGCTGATCAGAGAATGCAGAATCAGGCAGATCTGAGAGAGTACATCTGTAATGTACATGTACATGTGCGTGTACATCAATGTAGGATTTCACTGCTGACTGAGAGTCAGGTTTTGCCTCAAATATGAAGAGGTTTTTATCCCCGACTCGGCTGGTTAACTTGCTCAAATGAACACTCAGTCAGCACTTGTTTGAATGAATAACAGCTCAGGATAGAATGTGTTGCACCATCTATAATTCTTCTAAGCCTCATTAAAGCAGAGAAGCTAATATTAAATGACTACACTGTACATATACATAGTAAAAATTTGTGTGTAGTTATGTTATTATTTATTAGCTTGAGGAGGGTGGTGATAAGAAGTTAAGACAATGAAATCACATGTATATCTGTATTTACGACAAGGGGGAGTAATATTACATGACCATACGGTATCAATACCCGCCTCTCCCAGCGAAAAGGAAAACGGCAAAAAAATTGCTGGGACGGCGGCGAAAAAAAAAGGAAAAAAAAAAAATCAAAATCAAAATCAAAATCAAATAATATAAGAGAAGTAATTAATAGAAAAAGCATTGTCAAATTCGGAGGAACTAGTCTTGTCTTTTTTTCCCCCACTCTTTTATTCCTCTTCTTCTTCCTCCTCCTCCTTCTTTTTATCCTCCTCAATTCACTCTTTTTCATCCTCCCTCCTATACTACACGATCTCTCGCCCGCTTGTTGTACATGTACAGTGCAGGAATTCCCTTTGCCCGCTGCAGCTTTCTTTCCTTGCAGACCCTGTGATTGAGTGAGAAAGGAGAGACATTTAGCCAGCCCCCGTTCGAGTGGTGAGTCCCAAGTCATTATTATTACTGTCTTCGTCCCCGTGTTGGCTCCCTGTGCTTCTCTCTTCCCTCCAATTGCCTCCTCCCACTCCCACTCCAATCACACAAATCCGTTGACTGACCAATGGAGCAGAAGATTCCCCAACAAAACACGAAAAGCCCCAATTCCTCGCCATCTCCTTCCTACCTTTGATCCCGTGGACATCCATATAACCATATAAATATATATACACACATATATATATATATAGATAGATAGATAGATAAATATCTTCTCCGCCCCATCAACACAAACCCGAAATCTCCTAAATCCCGCAAACCATGACCTCCACCGCCCTCCCCAAGCGCACCGCGCTGAACCGGAATATCCCTACGGACTCCTCCACAGAGAGCTCTGCATGCGTTTCCCCAAGCGACAGCTTGCGTCCGTCTCCTTCCTCCACCTCCCTGTCGTCTCTGGCCTCGGATGCGCAGGAAGAACCCCTAAAATTAGTAGACACCTACGGAAACCCCTTTGAGATCCCAGACTTCACCATCAAGCAGATCCGAGACGCCATCCCGGCCCATTGCTTCAAGAGAAGTGCGCTGCGCAGTCTTTCATACGTAGCGAGAGATATTTCAGCTTTGGCAGGGACCTTCTACCTTTTCCACAACTATGTCACTCCGGAATACATCCCATCCACCCCGATCCGTGCGGGACTGTGGGGTCTCTATACCTTCGTCCAGGGTCTCTTTGGCACCGGCCTATGGGTCATGGCCCATGAGTGCGGACATCAGGCATTCTCTCCATTCAGACTCCTGAACGACACAGTCGGCTGGATCTGCCACTCGGCGCTGCTGGTACCGTACTTCTCCTGGAAGATCTCACACAGCAAACACCACAAAGCCACCGGCAACATGGACCGGGACATGGTTTTCGTCCCCAAGACACGAGAGGTATTCGCCTCGCGCTACGGCTATCTCGCGCACGAGCTGCATGAGTTGATGGAGGAAACCCCCATCCAGACCGCTACGCACATGATCCTGCAGCAGCTGTTCGGATGGCCCTTGTATTTGCTCTCAAACGTCACGGGCCACAACAACCATGAGCACCAGCCTGAGGGCCGTGGTAAGGGAAAGAAGAATGGCTTCTTTTCTGGTGTCAACCACTTCAACCCGTCCAGCCCGCTGTATGAGGCCAAGCACGTACCGCTCATCCTCCTCAGCGACCTGGGCTTGATGATCACAGGCTCCGCGCTGTACTGGGTTGGCCAGAACTTCGGCTGGGCGAACCTTGCCGTGTGGTACTTCGTGCCATACCTGTGGGTCAACCATTGGCTAGGTATGTAGAAATCAACTCAAATCTCCCCCTCAATGATTTCCTTTCTCGTCTCCTTTCACTACCCTCGGAAAGACAAAAAAGAAACAAATTAACACCCCCCCCCCCAAACAGTCGCCATCACCTACCTCCAACACACCGACCCCACCCTCCCCCACTACGCCTCGCAAGCCTGGACCTTCACCCCGCGGAGCCGCAGCCACCATCGACCGCGAATTTGGTTTCATCGGCCGCTACCTCTTCCACGGCATCATCGAGACCCACGTTCTGCACCACTACGTCAGCACGATCCCGTTCTACAACGCCGACGAGGCCAGCGAGGCCATCAAGCCCGTCATGGGCAAGCATTACCGCTCAGACACCAAGGATGGGAGCTGGGGGTTCATCAAGTCGCTGTGGAAGAGTGCCCGGACGTGCCACTGGGTGGAGCCGTGTGAGGGTGCGAAGGGCGAGGGACAGCATGTTTATTTCTTCCGGAATCGGAATAATATCGGTGTTAGGCCTTCTGCCGTGGCGACGAAGTCGTCGTAGGATCTAATTGCTTTTTATTTTGTTATTATTTCTCCTCTCGTTTCGTTTTTCGCTCTCTTTTGTTTTTCGGCTCCTGTTTTGTGTCGCTTTTCCCTGGCTGCTCTTTCCGGATAAGTATAGAAAGATGAAGGAAAGGGAGGGCGCCATCATCTTTTTTATCATATATATAAATAGAGAAAGTAATGGATGGATGGATGGGGATGATAATGAGTCTTGATACTCCATTCTTTTCCTTCTCACACCAACCCAGCCCCGGTCCCGGTCCCAGTCCCTCGTCCCGCCGCCATCCATCCACTCTCAAGACGAAACCGAGAATCGACGGAAGCCATGAAACCCTCTTCCAACACCATCAGCACGTCTGTATAATTCTATCAATCAACAGGCGGAATATTTTCCTCTCTATTCTTTCTGGCGTTGGGTGGGGAAAGGGAGTGCTATTACATACCTAGACGGACTTACCTTGCTTTATCTCCTCTCTTTCTGATTTTTTTTGGGCCTTCACAGAACGCGATGCGATGCGGATGACCCTCTTTTTTTCCTGTTTTTCGCTTCGCATACAAAATACCAAGAAGGGAGCGAGGGTGGGCGGCGAAAGAGAAAAAACCTGACATTTAGAGACCGCAAATCCCAAGTCCTTTGATTCCGATGCCGTCTTCTTCTTGCTTGTCATGTTCGAGCTTCTCATTGACAAAACATGTTTTGGACTGTTGTTTCGTTTCCCTTTTGATGCCTCGAGTTGCTTCTTTCTTTTTTTTTTGCTCACTCATCTTAAAAAGCGATATAGAAATACGCACTTTACCAGGCTAAATAACCTACCATATCGACGAATTAATGAAAAAGAAAAAAATGGACATATCCATCCTGCAGTACATCACCCGCCTTCCTTGGTTCCCAGATATGCGAATGGTTATCATCATCGCAGTTGAGGAGTTGGGAGGAAAGGTAGAAGAACCAGTATGGCGACCTGAATGAATAAGTCAATGCCATTCTAAGCAATGTATACGTAAAGCATACCTGGCTAAAATCCATTGCCTGCGAATTTCCTCTGATAAAAAATATCCGGTTTCATCATTTTGCTGGACTTTTCGATCTCGAACTCAAAACGAAGGGGGAAATGATAAACTGATAGAAAAAAGAAAAGAAAAAAAAAGAATCATCGGAGAAGAAAGAAAACAAATGGAAGAGTGGGCAAGAACAATGGCCACATGCAAGACAGGCGGCAGCTTTCCTTTTGCCAGGCAAGATGCAGCTCAGTATAAGCTGCAGAGTAACGTTGATGATATATCTATATATCTATATATATAGGATGATCCTGCAGCGGGGTTAGGTTGAATAGCTCAAGTTGCGCCCAACAACGCCCCCGGAGATATGTATAAGAAACTCACATTCTTTCTCTCTCTCTTTCTTTCTTTCTTTCTTTGCTTCACCCTTGATCCTTGATCTTTTTCCCCGTTTCTTTCTACATATACAACCCCCCCGGTCATCAAGGCTTTTTTCTTTGATCTTTTCCCATTTTCCTTCGCGCTTCAATCTCCCTTCTGGCTTCTGTGCACTTTGATCCCCCTGTTCTCCTATGCAAGTTATGATTGAAACCCCCCCGCATCCATCCGGTGCATCCGCGGTTAGGCAGTGACGTTGCCACATTCAGGCACCCGGGAGTCCTGTTCCTTGCCCTGGAGATCTTGCTTTATGGCATTTTTTGATGTTGATTTTAGATTTTAGATTTTTAGATTTTTATTTCTATCTATTTATTTATTACTTTTTTTATAGATCTGTTTGGTGGTGGTGGTGGGAGGGGTTGATTGGCTTGGTTATTTATACCTGTGAAGAAGGGAGACTATGACGTTATTCTTTATGCCGGGGAAGATCCTCTGGCGTTTTCTTCCTCACAGAGAAGATAGCAGAGAGAGAAAAAAGACTCCGTAGTGCCCAGCAGGCAGGTTGACAATAAATACTCTGGGTCACCCATTAGTATTATTGAGCAAAATGTCCACCGCATCCCAACGCTTTATACGTGAAGCATTCTCCAAGGGCAGCGGGTTTCCAATATTCTGATCCACGCCCCTGCCTGCGTAGCAGAAATTCAAGCTGCACCGGACAAACAGCTTCAATCGCCGCATGCAGCGCCGTCCCCCTCTCATACGGGATATGATAAAAGTATCTGTACGGTTCCTCGACCGCATTGATATCAACCGGCAGCTTGATGCAAGGCCGTTCGTCCATGTACGTCCTTTGCGGGTAGATCAATTCCGGAGTTGATGAATAGCTGGATGAGCGGCATTATTGCTGGCGAATTGGGAAGTACCTGAATTGCCCATTGGAGCACCGTGTGCCCTCCAAGCAGATAGGTCCGCGCCAGTGTCCAAGAGCATTCGGATGATAATTTTATTGCCACCCTTGACAGCGGAATGCAGCACACTCGATCCATCGCTTTGCACAGAGCTTACATCGGCCCCGGAATCAAGCAGAATACGAACTGCTGCCTCATGACCTCGTTCTGCTGCGGCATGTAGCGCGCGGTGATTCCAACCATCACACTGGGCAGAGACAGCAGCTCCAGCGCCCAAGAGAATCCATAATATTTGGCAGTGATTCCGCCGGGCGGCTATTTCCAAGAGAGTCCGCCCATGTTCCACCTGGCTCTCGTATCCGCCCCAGCTTCGACAAGCAGCTGCACCATTTTGTCATCACTGTGAAATATAGCAAGTATCCAAGCACCCCCTTCTCGTAGCTGCAAGTTCACGCGCGTGCCCGCTTCAATTAATACTGGAGGCCACGGCTCTTTTCCGAGCACGAATGGCATGGACTAGAGCTGTTTCACCATCGCTATCGCACGGGGAGAGGTCAGCTCCGGCACTGATGAGTAGTTTGACTGTGCGCATTCAGGCAATCTTTCATGTTAAGCATTGTCGTGTGTCCGTTGGGGTATAGAGTGGAGACGTCTGCTCCAGCCTAGAGCAGAATTTTGACCTGCCCTGAACAGCTAGAATCAAGGACGTGAGTCCGGCATCGTTGGTGATTGAGCCGTTCACTCTCCTGGAAAAGGAATCGCTCGATCAGTTTGTCGTGCCCGGTCGGAAGCTAAGTAATGCAAGAGAGTATTTCCAGCTCTATCTTGGGCAAAGGCAATTCGGGGGATTATGTATGTGGCAAGTTCATTTGCTGCATGCAAGGGCTGGGATGATGTCGGAAGGCAAAAGTAGCTCAACGATGTATATTAGTATTTCGGGAGGGATCCCGATCTAAAAGATTTAGTGACCTTATGGTGAACTGGTGAACTGTACTCTATATTAGAAGGGATATTTGCGATGTTTGAGATGTATCCTTTTCTCCTTCTTCTCTCCTCTTTTTGAAGTTTGGATATAATAGTGCCGGCGACCAGAAGGATAGCTAATTACAGCGTAACTACTCATGTTCAGGCGACGCTATCAGGCAGCTGCAGCGATATATAACTCTGGGCTGCAATCTCGACAATGCTCAAAAACAGTGCAAAAAAGGGACAAGTGGATTTTAGCTGCATATACGGAGTATACCAGATAGATCCATTTATTCGCATATTGATCCAGTAAACTGTCAGTGACAGGTTTTGATGGCTTTCTTCGCGGATGTGGCGTAAGTAATTAAATATCCTGACAACAAGGTGTCAACCATATACCGCAATCCGTGTATCAGCTGCAGGAATTCCTTCACGATTGTTTACATAGCAGATGTAAATGATAGGGCGTGTCAAGTCTTAAGTCTAAGCATTCTTTGTTAGCTTTCCCGGGGTCGACTTTGTTGTCGTCATGTCTCCCTCCTCCATAGGTTGAACCCCTTTTACTTCAGCACCACGCTATTCCTACGCTTGTCTGATATGGCCAAACAGCATTTCATTTTCCAATGGTAAATGTATTTTGTAAGATAACTAGCTAAGCTATCTGCTTGTATTATGTGTTCAAACATTTCCTCTCCCCCTTGAAGGAGTCTCCCGATTCCTACACGTATAAGACGGTGTGAAATCTGCTATTTGCTGATAGGCTGTTGGGAGCCAGCAATGTTCAATTGCATCTCTACCAACCGCCAAAGGTCTCTTTCCGTGAAGAACGTCCCGCTGCCCGTCATTATCGAACTCGAGACATCTTGTCGCCCCAATGTGTCACCTCCCTCCCCACGTAATGTACCAAGAGGCACGTCAACCTCTTTTCTCATTCTAAAACAGCGGGGATATTCCACGGAGGAATTAGAAATACAATTAAATGGCATACTAAGGGTGACAAATCATTTAGCAAATTTTTCCTGGCAAGAGGGTGATGTAGCTGGCTTGTCCTTGCGGTCTATGACTTAGAAATTTATTATTTCTTGCACAGCTTCAAAGGTTGATAAAGCTGGTCCAATCCCTCTAGCACTATAGTCGTGGTAGAATAGGCTTGGTCAACAAACGCTGCAAATGCTCATATACTGCCGGCCATGACTACGAACATGATATCGATCGATCTGTAGATAGAAAGACGCCAATGTTCAATCGTCGCTAATCGGAATAATACCTCGTATCCCGCTTGGGTGTATTTCGAATCCGACCGTGCTAAACATGGGATCATATTCGACCATCTCTTTGCTTCCAGTTGGTCCGTTGTCATCATCATCATCATCATCATCGCCTAGACACTGTTTAGGGTCCCCGGACGTCCACGGTGAGAACACAACTTGAATCGTCCGCTGTTTCCGATATGAAGGGATGGTGGCAGAAAGAAGGTCATCATTAAGTTCAGCTATAGAGTTCACGGGGTTGGGTTTCCGCTCATTTGGAGTCTCCCCTTTCTGAGTATCTCCATTCTCAGATGATTTTTTTTGAATAGGTTCACGTTTTAAGGGTGTGCGCATTTGGGGCTCCGCGGGACTTTGAGAACTGGGTTCTTTAGGAACATCGTATGCGGAAGGCACCGAAGACAATAAAGCGTTCGAATCTGACATTTGCCAAACACCCCCTGTATCCGAGTTTTCAATTCGAACGGTCTCTATCTTAAGTACAATACGGCAGGCAATCTGGTTTGTCCAGACAATGCCAAGCGCGGGCGTTTTCCATTCCGAATGGGAATTCATATGCATCGCGTCTAGGGTAGATGCATGCGGATCACCCCAGCCAGTGAAAAAGGGCCGCTGGTAGTCAACCTTCAGCAGTGCAGCTAGGTCAAGAACACTCAAAGAAAATTCATCATCCTCGGCCTCAACCATGGACGACGGGATGGGAGACGACGTAAATCCAAGCTGATGAGATGGCGATGACCTAGGACCCTCAGAATCATACGCGAAAGTCTCTTCGGGATGAGAAGATGGTGGCTGGGATGGATGCTGGGAAAGGGATTCCTCAAAATAACTGCTTGTGGGTGGTTCAGGTTCGTCTGCCCATAGAACGTCCTCCATGTGGATCCTATCTGACACTTGGTTCGCAACAACAATGGCGATATTCTGATTGGCGGCTAAGTTCCGTAGAAACTGGCCAAGCTTTTTAAGCTGCCATGCCCGAACCAGTAAGCCATCCACATTATCCGAATCACTCTCAGCGCGATAGTTGGCTGCTATAGAATCGATAACGACGAGGCCAACATTGTACCGGGACACAGCCACTGGAATTTGATAATTGAGAATGTGATCCTGGGACTCAAGATCGATGGTAGTTATAGCCAAGATGTTTTCCAAGGACGGGCGAGGAGACTCCTCTGGTAGGGTAGAAATTATAGGGTGTTCCTCAAGAAGCTGTGACAGCCTGCCTGTAGGCAGATCTGACTCCGTGGAGAAGTAGAGAGCCTTTTGAGATGTTCCATATGGTGGAGGAAGCTGAACGGAAAGCAATAAATGGAGAAGGAATTGTGTTTTGCCGCATCCGCTGCCATAGTTACGGAATGTCAGCAGCCGTTGAACAATGTGATGGTGAGTGTAACTGTCTTACCTTTCTCCTGCCAGCTCTGTTACATATCCCGTCGAAATGCCACCTGCCAGGGCCTGATCTAAAACCGGGTCCAACGTGCTAATGAACGAAAGCGTAGGCAACCTCTGGCCTTGTTTCACATCTGGATCCCCGTGGTCCTCCACTTTATCGCGCACGTTACCGTCCAGGCTTCTAGACACCCCATCCGCCGACTCCTGATATTCGCCCAGGCCAAGATCTCGATGCAAGGCATTGATCACATCCCCCGCCAGAGCACGCACGTCCGTCACGGCGACTTTTGCCTGCTTGGCAATTTCCAATGGGTCAAACAAGACCAGATCTTTCACCGTAATGCTTGCCCTTTCAAGAGAGGGCAATATATGAGCATAGGACTTCGTGGGGAAGTCGGGAAGTGTGGAGAGTAGATCCATGTATCGATCGCGCGACGAGCGCTGAATTTAGATTTGCACGGGGGCACGTCGGGCAGCATAATTACACCAGCCCCTTAAACCTAGTAAAACTGTGTATCGCTGGGTAGGTAATCGGAATGTCATGTTGGCTTAGTCTTTTGCAAAGTCAGGGTTAGCCCTGTTAGAGCTGGAGTGTAGTGGCCAAGGAAAGATAACTTTGTCAAAAGCAAATATCCATAATGCTCAAATCACTCCCTTTCCTGCAACCATTCTCGTTGAATTCTAGTCATGGCTCATGGGTATGTATCGCGACATCGCCAATTGTCACCGCCCATTATTGGGCGCGTCGTTCGCCTTTCAGGTTAGTCAGCACGCGCGTGCCAAGACGGCGGAAACACTGGGAAAGCTTCGGAGCGCTTTCCGGCTTCCGTTCAGGGTATGTGTTGGCCGTTAAGTTGGCTGCTGTGCGATGAGGCGATGGCGATAATGATACGATGACGATGATGATGTGAGGAGAGTCTCGGGCATCCAGAAAAAAATAGGAGTAATTCTAGAAAAATAACCCCAAATATCCGATCGGAGCCGAGTCTCTGTGCCGAACCTTATCAGATGATCAGATAAAGCCAGCTTCCCTTCCCGCGCTGTATTGTGGGCACACTCGGGGACTTGCTTTGAATTCCAAGATTAGTTTTATATAAACTTGCCGACTTGCAAGCCGAAACCAGTCGGCATTCGCTCCGTGGCTGCTTGACCTTGGTCGCGGGGCCAAATATTCAATCCCCAGGGACCACGCGCCCTTCTCGTATCCTTGGCCAATGAAACCTGCTGCGGGGTTTATTCCTTCTCGCTGCCATATTTAACCGTCCCCCACCCCCCGATTCCTTAACCGCTATATATGGCGGTTAATATCTTTGTGGAGAAAGAGCATATAAATTTCTCATTTTCTTTCTACGTTGATTCTTAAACCCCTATTTGAGTGTATTGAAACACTACTGCATATTACTGCCTCCTTAAACTTCAAAGATGTTGTTACCACATCCACTCGAACAGCTGCGGGCAACTGAGATCCACTGTGCTCGAGATGTCATTTTCAAGGTTAACCCAGGGGTCCTGATCCAGTTTCGTTCGATATTCCTCGAAGAGCCGGCCAAAGCTTCTTTAACAAGCTTCCTGGCAGCGGAACATGGAGGGACACTCACTTCTTCCACTCCACGACCACCACGATTGGCCAACGTATACTATGATACCATCCACTCAGACAAGACGCATAAGTATTTTGAAGCCGTGGTTGACTTGGATCTAAAGGAAGAGGTGTCCCGTCAGGCCTTTGATAGTTCAATGCAGCCCTCATTTACACTGTAAGGCTTATCCTATATTAAAAGACATAATTTTGTTCTTCATTCGCAAATGCAACGACCTATGCTAACATTATCAAGGGAGGAATTTTACTCATTTAACGAGGCATGCATGACATCCCCATTGTTCCAGGAAGCTGTATCCAAATTCAAGTTACCAGAGGGATTCGTCCTTGAGATTGATCCGTGGCCATATGGCGGGCTCGACCATGGAGAGCCAGATATTCGTTACATGCAGGGGCTTTGCTTCGCCAAGGACACTCGGAATGGAAATCCAAACTCCAATCATTACGGGTACCCAATTCCTCTCATCCCAGTAATGGATTTCCACAAACGAGAAGTCATCAGGGTCGACAAGCTCGCAACGGGAGGGACCGGTGATGGCCTAGCTTGCGACACTACCCCGACAAACGTATTGGACCATACTCGCCCGTCTGAATATGTCCCTGAACTTCTGGACGTAAAATTACGAACGGACCTCAAACCGCTTAATGTACTCCAGCCCGAAGGACCCTCCTTCCAAGTGAGCAATGGCAGTTTGGTCGAATGGCAGAAATGGAGATTTCGTGTTGGATTCAACCCTCGAGAAGGCGCTACCATTCACGATATCCATTATGATGGGCGGAGCGTTCTATATCGCCTGAGTTTCTCTGAAATGACGGTTCCCTATGGGGACCCTCGGCCTCCATTTCATCGAAAGCAAGCCTTTGATTTTGGCGATGGTGGCGCTGGGCGGTCTGCTAACAATCTGGCTTTGGGCTGTGATTGCCTAGGTGTTATCCAATACTTGGACGGATTTAACATCGACGCGTCAGGTCAGCCTTCCGTGGCTAAGAACGTAGTCTGCGTCCACGAACAGGACAACGGCATCGGATGGAAGCACACTAACTTCCGTACCGACAGGGCTGTGGTTACCCGCTATCGTGAACTTGTGGTGCAGTTCATCATCACTCTTGCCAACTACGAGTATATTTTCGCATACAAATTTGACCAAGCCGGAGGAATTACTGTCGAAACCCGAGCGACTGGTATTGTCTCAGTGATTAACATTGATCACGGAAAAACCTCCCCGTGGGGTAATGTAGTATCTCCCGGCGCCTTGGCTCAGAACCATCAGCACATATTCTGTCTTCGCATTGACCCCGCGATCAATGGCTATCGGAATACAATTTTCCGCGAAGAATCTCTACCAATGCCCATGGATATCCATACCAATCCGTTCGGGAATGGCTATCAGGTAGTTACGCAGCCGGTAGCCACTTCCGGCGGATTCGACGCTTCTCCAAGCACCAACTTAACAATCAAAATGTCCAATACCAACGTTCTAAACCCCATTTCCGGCCGCCCCGTCTCCTACAAATTTACTCCCCCAGCTACACAGCTTCTGCTCGCGGACCCTCGATCCACCGTCGCGCAGCGTGCCCAGTTCGCAAAACACCACGTCTGGGTGACGAGACACAGGGACGGCGAATTCTTTGCCGGCGGCAAATTCACCAATCAGTCCCGGACCGAACGGGGCGGCGTTGGCGACGCTGCCGCCCGAAATGAAAACACCCTTGACACCGACGTGGTGATCTGGTCGGTCTTTGGGCTTAGTCACAATCCTCGCGTGGAGGACTGGCCCGTGATGCCAATTGAGAAAATGGAAGTGCACCTGCGACCTGCTGATTTCTTTGATCGTAACCCTGCGTTGGATGTTCCTGGGACTAAAAACCCAACGAGCGTGCTTGTTGATGGTAAGACTGACGATTGCTGTGCTGCGGGTGGGAAGGTTCAGCGGGCACCTGAATCACATCGTCAGAGTTCGCAGGATATTCCTGTGAAGGATAGTAAGCTGTAAAGTAGAGCTTTCTGGGTTGTTATCATTCTTATTATTATTTATGTGATCAATGATTGATGGATGGTGATTGGTGATGGGGGGGGCTGATGTTTGGGATTCCTTTTTTAGACACGGAGTTATGAATTTTTAGTAGTTACTTGATATTGTCTTCTGACACACTTAATTAACGTAGTTGACTACGTAGTTAAATCTCAACGCCAATGATACTACATATTTATTTAGTTACATCTATTCATTCATATCTATATTTCTAGGAGATTTCCCACACACGCCCGTATTCCGTACATTTGAGATAGGTATATCTGTTAGTTCTCATCCCCTGGCTTTGGGACTTATGAGTTATATAACTAAGCCCCCGAGCCCCACGCGATCCGTGGTTGTATCCCGCCGCTGGTTTAACTCAGTCGAACCGCCCGGAATCGGCAGTCTTCCGCACCCTCACCTGAGAAAACCTGAATATACGTGACGTCTTTTGATCATTCCTCACCAACTTCGACAGGTATCAGAGTAAATAAATTAGAAAACAAATAGTACAATATAATCAGACTTCCTTCCCCTCGACACAGTGTCAAAATGGCAGTATTCCACATAGGTGCGTTCTTTTCAGTCACCTCCCTGCGCCCTTCCTCTTCGCCCACCATACCTCTCTAGAAAGAAAAAAAAAAACGCTAAAACCAATCTGAATCCCACGCACAGTCCTCTTCAAGCTAAAGCCCGGCGTCACGGCGGCTCAGATAGATGAATTCAAGAAGGCATGCAAGGCTATGGTTGGGCAGGTCCCAGGTACGTTTATGTCATGAACAGTGAGTGGTAGTTACATCGCATTGGCAGCGGTTGCGTTTCAAATACCTACACTACGTTAGCCATGCTTGAAGCGTTGGAGATCCCGAGTTCCCCCCCAAAAAGGGAGAACTTCAAGTTCCATTGCAGATACCGTCCTTAGAAGCAAGAAAAAAAAAAAGGCACGAATTCCTGAAACATTTTTTGAACAGGCCTTCGCGAAATACACAATAACCCACCATTGGCCATGACAGCATCCCGGGCCAAGGGGTATGATATGGGCTTGTTGGCCATTTTGGAAAAGCCGGATGATATCTCGGTATATGCAGGGCATCCGTCGCATTTGGAGTATGTCAGCGGTCTTCCTCCTCCTCTTTCCCCACCTTTATTTTTATTTTTATTTTAAAAAAATTTATCATTGATTTATATTGGAGCAGGGTGCAAAAGCTACGAGAAGAGATATGCGATGACGCATTGGCATACGATATGGAGTTTTAAGTTTGGTTTTATAGTTTATCTGTAACGGTGGTGCAGGTTTTTCTTGTGGAATAATACCTAGCTGAATGTCGTGCGGTGTGGAGGTAAGGTGCTCAATTTCTATGTACTGGAAAAATTTTCTTTGTATGTATGCACGTATGTACGTACATTGTACATGTACATGCACGGGTCCGATTCCGAGTTTATGGATAATACGGACTAGACGAGATGCCATACTGGAATCCGGTATTCGCCTCTTGCATTAAAACAATGACATCCGTTCGAACACCATGTTCCTCACAATTTCCGGAATTATCCACCTAGATGGCCAACGCCTCCTTATCTTTCTGTTGCATCACTCTGATATAGCGCTTTGCAGTCCACTCGCGCAATCGCTTTCCCTTCCAAATCATTAGAAGAGAAGACAGATTGGCTACTAGACATATCATTGCCATGATGATGGTGGTGTTTTGCAAGCCGTGATGGTTAATCCATGGCCTTGAAAAAGATGGGTTCCAGAGTTAGTTAATGCAGCCATTCATCTAAACATGCTAGAGGGGAGCATGGGGAAAACGAGAGAGAGAGGGAGAGAGAGAGAGAGAGAGAGAGATGACATACTGGCTGGCAAAAGTAAACCCGCAACCGATAATATTTCGAATAAAGAGCATAAGCACCAAGCTTTCAGAGGCGATGCGCGGGTAGCAGTGTACCGCGTACGTGATTGCAATTGCACCGCCGCTTCCGATTCCGAAGGCAATAAACACCATACCGAATCCTGCTGGGAGGATCCACATCGTACCCTTTAATACCCCCAGGCCATACATAAGTATCCCCGCAGTATTGATGACTGTGGGAACAAGCATCGTCCAGAGCCTAAACTCAGGTTCTAAAATGCCCTTGTTGCGCCTAGACAAGAAGATGATGCACCAATCGGACACATATCCGCCCCAAATCATTCCCGCTATGCCACCAATGAAGGAGGAAAAATTGATATTGCCAACGTTCGCCATGCTGAAGTTGTACGGGTCCCTAGAGAAAAGGTCAGATTGCGTCACGTTGAGTAACGAGAGCCACATAATCTGTACGCCGTAGATGAAACCCGCCCACATGACTGCCGGGTACGTTACTAGTGTGAACGGGCTAAGAGCAACGAGCCATAATGGCCGTGGATCGCTATAGGAAGTGTTATATAGTCCCATGCGTTGCCAGTAAGTTTTCGGAGGTGGTGCTGAATGCTCAGAAGTGTCACAGTCGACGTCATGTGACACATAGGCCTCGACTTTCACAGCTTCTAAATTTTGATTTGCATGATGAGACATCGCAGCTGTGTCTCCGGAAATCTCAGAGGACGTAGGAGGCCTGCGGAATGTAGATTCTTCCATTGTGAATAGCTGGATGACCAGAAGGACAGCGAAGAAAATGATGAGGTATTGGTAACACCAACGCCACTCCTGAGAGTCGGCGATGTGTCCAGCCGCAACAGGGCCAAGGTATGACCCTGCGTATATCGTGAATACGTACAAACTCAGTCTGGTGCCTTTTTCATGCGCAAAGAAAATATCGGTCGTCGAAATTTGTACCAGAGAGTCCACGGGCGCAGCACCAAATCCCGTGAGAATGTTTGCTCCCCAATACATCTGAACGGTTGTCTGGTATCTGCCCAAAATGCAGCCTGCAAGATTAAGAAAGGAGCCAACCATATACACAGGTCGTCTACCAATCTTCATGGCAATGGGCTGCAAGCAGACGCAGCCTAGTCCCAGGAACAGGAAACAAAAGCTTGACCCAATGCTCAAGTCGAAAAAAGTAGTTTTCAGATCGATGGTGAATTGTGTCTTAAAAAAATGCATCAGTCGAGGATTCGAGTTGGAGATGAGGCTAGAGGTGTGATGCACACTGCATGGGCTGAACATACCCAGACTGGCCCAACCCAATTGACGCAGACTGCAGCTATAAACCCCCAGATCCACAGGAGCCAGAAATGATACTCCTTGCGGAATTTAGTCCAGTTGAGGGGGTCGTTTGGGTCGTTCGATGGCTGAGGTACAAGGACAATGTCGTTTTTCCCTCCCTCCTGATGTTTTACATTCATTGTACCTTCCACTAAAGAGATTTGATCCTTACGTCAGTTCCCAATTCAAATGTGAATGGATCCGAGGGATAAACGTTACCTACAGTCGACAATGCGTACGGTTCCAGGGACCATCTTCACCCCTTGAATCGTAGCAAACACTATCATGGCTGGAAAGTGCTCGCCTGTTTCATCTCCCCAGATAAAAGAGTGCTCTTCGCGGGATATGAGGCTGCCACACAGTTCAATTGTAGTGACTCGGATTTAAGCCTAATATTTTCAAGGATGAGTTCTCATTTTGGACATTCCGTCGCCTTTATATGCGCAAATCTCAATCCCAGTTGATAAAGGAGAGTGCGGCAATAAAAAATGACACAAGAGGGGAAGAATCCAGCTTCTTGAAGCATCAGCTTCAGATTACCGAAGTAGAAGCCTTGGGTCCATTAGCGACTGCATAGGACAGGCTCACAAAGGATGATGGAAACTGTGCTACCCCATATCTTGAGCTACCAGAGGGACGTCGAAGTTTCCTCTTGGGATTCGCTCCTTTGTGATTGGGCACATACCATGTCCGGACAAGCTGAGTCCGGCTCGGCATTAAGGATCATCTTTCCCTCTCGTTCGCATCCCAACGAGCAGGTTTAGAGCTAAACGAAACGACTATAGTTGGATTGGAGACAAGTCGACTTCAGCAATATTAGGAGGCTCCAGAGGGGCTCTTCGATCTGTTTTGAGGCACCAAAAGTGGTTGTTTGCTCCCGATCAGCCCAGCAAACCCATACCCCATACGGTGCTCCAGACGGGGTGGGGAGACAAAATATGGGGTTGGCATTCTGGTGCGGGGAATAAGGGGAGTTTTATCCCCACCACATTTCAATTCTTAAACACACGATGCGTTCACCGAGTTGCGCTGAAAATCACTTCTTGTCCTAGAGATCATAGATGGCTGTTCAAGCCGTCCGCATTCTGGATTCATAGAAAGGAGCTTGTATCTAAACAGGCGATGTCATAGGTGCGATCCGTGCGGCGGCCGTGAATGTTCGTAATAATAAGGCGAAACCCAGCTTGAATAACAATGATGTAGTTGTAGCAATGATGTAGTTGTAGCAATGATGTACTCTGTATAGCAAGGACAGATGGGACAAACCGCGCTTAGTCACCGCTCCGCCTGCACCGGGATCAACCTGACCTGACTTTGACTTGACTTTAAATATACGACGTTTGTAGAACGTTGTTGGCCCAGGGGTCAGGCCCCAACGCCATAGTGTCGTCACGCAGGGAAGAAAAGGACAAAATACTACGGACACGGTGGAAATTCCAAAAACCACTGGCTGCTGGTTGGGTGCCGGATAATCCAACCGGACGTCGCCTTTGCGGTGGTAATCTTCCCAGCAAGTTGTCAGCCTCGATCTTCTCTATATGCAGAAGCCGGCTGCATTGGCATGCGAAAAATTCGCGATTCACACACTTGCATCCGCGCCAGAAATGGGCATCCGGATCACTGAAAAAAAATTGGATACCAACTTGAATTTCTTCAACCCAGGCTGGAGCTGCAAGGGAGCGTTAGCCTAATCCTCCGCCTCGAATTTTACTGATACTGGTTGGTGGATGCGATCCTCAGCGAGACGGTGCGAACACAGGATTGGATAACCGCAAATTGGACATGAGGAAGAACAGGCGCCACTAATATAGTTCAGACTAAGACCTCCTCAAGGCCCAACTCCCGTTGTGGAGCGGTCAGTGCCAACCAACCCCCATGTGCCGTGCTTGCTTGCACCTTTTGCGTTTTGAAATTTTGACACAGGGGACAATCCAACTCTCACAGACTGACATAAATATTTGGTTTGCAAGAACGGGGGACTCAAAGTTTCCTGCCGTTCACTCATATATACCAGAGTTGCCAGATCCCCCGCTGCAGGATCATCAGCCTGACGAAGTTAACTATCGGTACAAACCCACCCTGCTGCACGGGTTTGCCCGATAAGGCTGAATGGTTCTCAGCTGCTAGGAACCTTCCCTCGCACGCAACACCCAAGATAGTTACATCAAGTCGTCATTGGTGGATGCTAGTTACCGCCTGAGGATCAAGATTTGGAAATCTCTTAGCTTCCAGCAGATTGATTGGGAATGATTCAGGTTTGTTCCCACGTTGGCGGAATCACGCCTGTCCTCGTGTCGGCTCCATAGCTTAGCAACATCTGTTAAGCATAAACTAGCACCAAAGGTTTATTACCTAGCTCTTTTTTTTCTTCATAAGTTTTGAAGAACTGCCTCTCCATACACCATACCCATTGAACTGTACCCTCCCGCTTGCATAAAAAGCTGTCTGCCTACTTATCGCAATCATTCCTTGAAATTGCATATGAACTATGTGTTCTCTATCTCCAATTCATGTATGCCGTTGCTCTGGCTGCTTAGAGTTGGCTGACAATGCCATAGTCCACTTGAAAATCTTGTGATGGCCTCTTTTCCTCCCGGTCTGGAGACTCCGCTCCTCAAAGTCAGTCGCCCTGTGGCAGCATGCTCGAGGTGCCGCACAGCCAAAATAAAATGCGACGGCAAACTTCCTGCCTGCTCTGCTTGCGAACGGGCCGGGAAAGCGTCTACTTGCCCTGGGGCTACTGATGAATTCGCTAAGGGAAAAGAACGAAGCTATGTGGCCGCTCTTGAGGGCCAATGCGAACGGCTTGAGAAAGAAATCGCCGAGGCGAAGCGGCGTCGGCAGAATGCCATCATAGAAGGAGCCGCGATCGAGCCGAGCTATACCGGCCAGCCGGTATCGCCTGGAGGCGGGACGAAAACCCATCGCGAAGAAGCATGCGATATCGATGACTTAGTGGGAGATTTTGGCTTCCTGTAGGTTAATCAACTTGCAACCCACCCACTACTTCGAGCTAAATACTCACACCCATTCCAGTTCAGTTAACGCGACATCGAGAGATTTTTATGGCATCACATCCTCGACATCATTTGCCGGGCTGCTTTTAACAGTAGCTGTGGCAAAACCTCTGCAGAATGTAGGGGTAAATAGGGGCCTTCCGGCCCGGCCCCTATCTACTACTCTCATTCAACATTACCTTGACAATATCTATGTTCTGGCTCCCTTCTTTATACAGACCAACTTTTGGGCGTCCTTCGATGCCGTGTATCAAGAAGGAGGCCGTTTCGCGAAAAGTTTTGATTATTGGATTGTACACATGGTTCTGGCAATCTCTCAGGCTTCAACCTCACATTCTGAATTAGCAAGGCATCACGTTTCGATTGCACTAGGATACGCTAATGATGTTCTTCATCCCGGGTCCATCGTTGGTATCCAAGCTATTTTATTACTGGCACAGTACTCAATGCTTGATCCAGAGCACTTCAGAACTTGGCACCTGGTTGGCAGTGCTGCTAGAGTCGTATCTGATTTGGGTGTTCACCAAGAGCAACTCTCAGAGACATACCTGAATAAAACAACCTTAGATCTTCGTCAGAGGGTTTTCCATTGCGTACATTCTTTTGACCGGTAAGCAAAATAGCCGGAAGATATTTATTCTTCAAGTATTAATACGACTCTAGATATGTAAGCGTCGCACTTGGGCTAGCATTTTCGTTTTCAGATGACTCGACGAATGTTCCTCTCCCAGGAGTTCCACTGCAGCCAATTGAGGGGACACTAAGCTGGACCGCGACCCTATTCGCCAACAGCATCGAACCAGCTATATATTTGTTCAAAATCCGCAGTATCCAATCAAAGGCATATCAAACCATGTTTTTTAGCGGGCGGAATCCAGCCCCAGAGCCCGCCTCGTACACATGGGAACTCTGCGCGGAGGCTCAAACCTGGTTTAATGCAATACCGAGAACCTTGCCAGGCCATCTCATCGTCTTCTACAACGTCGAGCTTTTCTACACCTTTGTGATCCTCCTCTCCCCATCAAATTATAACCCGAACGTAACTACACTGCACCGGATTCTGTTATTCGAATATGCCGCCAAATTCATCTCACAAATACACCAAATCATCAGCGCTACCAGCTGGCCGCTGTTTTTCTCTTACATCGACATCCAACGCGTCTACACAGTAGCTAGCAAGTTCATAGACGCCCTCGACCAAGCGTACGATGAAATCCTGCAAGACACTGAACCATCCGCGTCCGTACCGCCAGGAACACACCAACCGCCATACGTATCCCCAGCGGAGCGAGTTGATTCCGCTGGGCGGGCACTGAAATGTCTACAGAGCATTTGCTCCATTTTAGAATACGCCCACAATCGATGGAAAATGAGAGGTTTACTGGATGAGTTCCAGCGAAGTTCTGTGCATTTAGAGAAAAGACTGAGGCAAAGTCTCGCTCAGTGGGCCCAGCACCATGTTGATTTGGTTCCCGTTATGCCTCCCGTTTCCTTCCCTACACAAATGTATGCGATGCACCCCGTGCAACCACAATATATTCAGCAACCACAACCCCACCAGCAGCAGCAACATAACCCATTAGCGCATACGCAGAATGGGTATATTAGAAGTTGATATCAGAGATTACGAAAAATATATAAAATATTTGAGAGGATGCTACGGCCATTCCTTTTCTGCGGCCTGCTAATGAAATAGGATGAGAGCGGGCTGGGAAGCTCATAACAGCAAACTGCCCTGCACAATCACAAAACCTCCCGATTAAATCAATACCCACGGGTATACTGAGAAAAGCAGAGAAGCCGCAGCAAATTCCATAGTTATGTCATTGGAAGCAATGTTAGCGGATTATCCTCTTATCACGCCTCTTTGTGTGTTGCTTTCCATTCACTTTCTCGATCCTCCACCTAATTCAACTTACTCCTCTCTCCCGATCTATTCAACATCACACTTATCGACCAGGGGAGCCCCACTCTCTATCTGCCCCCGAGTACTTTCCAAAATATAATACCGGACTTGCGCTGTTTGCACTCCTATAACTGATGATCAGCTTATGATACCTCCCTCCACTACATTCAAAAAGATTTTTACTTCTCCTGATTTCCTTCTATCCCTGTTTCATTTTTCAATTTTCATTTCACTTCATTTGTTTCATTAAAGTTATGTTCTTCTCCCTTATTTATTGGCACACCGCGTGCCTTGTTTTATTATTCCATCAATTCACCATCCCCCCCTTTATATACTTGCCTCTCAAAATCTTGTTATAGTACATCAGCAGTTTTCATTCAAAATTTTTGTTATTTGTGTCTAGTGAACGCATTATATATATAATTATATATATTAATTGCTCTATGAAATTCGCTGCTCAAGCCCCCCCCTTCCCATCCCATCCGTTTCTTTCCGTCTTTCATTTCCTTCTGTAGATAGTTTGCAACCAATGCCAGCACAGCTACTCTTGCTTGGACGAAGAGGTAATCAATGGGGACGGGGGGGGTTAGCTAAAAATAAAAATAAAAATACAAATACAAATAAAATACAAATAAAAGAAAAGAAAAAGGAATAGTCTACATGCTTAGTATGTAAAATTCCAAGCTATAAATCGATTATGTATCACTAACCATACGAAGATTCAGTATTTAATTTTGGTTACAGGAGAGAAAAGCGGATATCCAATGTCCACAGGTATCCATTGATGTATTGAGTCATAGCGTTTCTTAATCGTCTTGAGCTTCCCATTATTGAATTCGTTAAATAAGTTAAATATCATTCAGAGGGCCATTTGGTAATGAAAGATAGCAAGTAGCGTCACTATTCAATATCACTTCCCTCCAATTCCATGCGTAGCTAGGATTTAGGAATAACTACATCTCCACGCTTTTTTCCATTCTAGAAATTTTTTTTAAAAAAAGATGACAAAAGAAACTTCTAAAAGCTTGGAGATGAAAAATTTTGCCAGTAAAACTTCCAGTGGTAGGTATGTCTTAAAGGGAAATCGAGTTGTCGAGCAACGCCAATAATATCCCGTAAAAAGGGGTGGGAACGTACGATTCAAAAAAAAAAGAAATTTTTTGGAAAAATATCGCTATAGCAAAGACGCCTCCCACCTTTTCCAAATTGGGATGGTTACCCAGAATTTACCTAGAAATGATAAAGAGATTTCGGCCATTCTTCAAATTAATGAATCCCTCCGACGATGACGTAGAAACTTTTCTCTCACGAGATTTCGCTCGTTCGGCGCACTGGGCTAATAGGTCATTGTGGTGTTTACTATCCTGACGACGTTGACCAGGGCGGAGTCGATTCAAACGACGTTGACCAGGGCGGAGTCGATTCAAACGACGTAGGCCATATATATTATCCGGGCGTTTTACGGTGGTGACGACAACCTGTTGGCAAAAACATGGTAGAGCCAGTTTGTGTAGTGCGGGCTGGAGCTTTCCAGCGGACCTTTGCCTTCTCTCGTCTCGTCTTCTCCTTCACCTCAATAAGATTGTCAAGGGTCAGGTCAAGCTTGGAAAGCCAGTTTGGGCTGCCTGGTGAACGTTGGTTGGTATCAATGAAGTAGCGACTGAGTTCATCCTCGTTTAACTCTCTGAGAGGTTTCACATCCCCCCCATTTCGAAGTTGATACATTATTGAAGCCATCAATCGTAGCACTGGCAGCGGTTTTAAACGCACAATACTCCTCAAAGAACAGAGCGAAATGTGTCTCAGTCCAACCTGTAGGCATAGGTACGACTAGACCCATTGAAGGCAGAACGCGCCGCCTCAACCGTATCCGATGGCCCAGCCCCACAACCTTCCCCGTCTTCGCAAAGCGACCGAACTGCCACATTATTTCAAACTGTTCTGCACTCAAGGGAGCATCACCATAATGTGTGTAGCAGGCTGTCGAGGCCGGGCTAGGCAAGGCTTCAACTGGTTTGGGCGAGGACCCTTGTCGACTGCCAATGCCAACGAGGTACTCGCGGAGAGATATGCCTATGGTTCGCGGGCAAGGGGCCTAGTAGGCGAATCTGCTTGGACGAGAATACTGCGTGGGATTTTGGGCGAGAGACAGTAGTGATAATTTTGCGTTCTTCAGCATCCGAATCAGGCCCCACGAGATGACAGGGGTTGACTCGAACACATTGTTGGTTGCTAACTGTGATAGGGGCCATCGTTTGACGTGTTAATGCCTAGAATGGCGATTTATCTGCTAGCTAAATAGCTCGGAAATAGGCACTAATCGTGAAGAGTGATTATGTTGGGGTAGATGATTGAATAGATGTTAGGGAGGTTAGATGGAGATGAGGGGAGAGTTGAGAAAGGAGGGCAGGAAGAGTGCTGCCAGAGAACGCCTACTGGGAAACTGAGAAGATAAAAGAGACAGAAAGAGAAGAAGACCTCAAGCTTAGTAACAATACAGTTGTGTACTTATGTTGAAATCAACGCATGGCCCAAACGGTATTGATATTGATGCGTTGGGGCAAAACATGAAGTCGATATCGCCAACCCTGAGCTGAGCTATCCCGCACAACCTAGGATATTGAAAGGGATCAGCTCCATTTGGGATCTTAGATCATTTACATTAGAAGAGAGAATATATTCTTCTAACGGGGTGAGCATAGAAAACCCCGTGAATGTAAGCTTTCCATTTCCTGACACCAGAATGATTGCTGAAGAGAAGAGAACATTTGAGTTACAATGAACAGAGTCATGTTCATCATGCATTGGCTCTTCTCAATATTATCTGGAATGACAAAGAAAGCATTAAAGTATAGGATAGCGCCTGCCAGGGGTATAGTGACTTGTCAAGCACTGCGAGGAAAGAAATACCCGGGTCAAAAAACTCCAAGGAATGAGCAATCAATCGGCTTGGGCATGATAACTATGATTTCCTGTTGAGAATTTCGTGTTGAGACTTTCATGTCGAGAAAGGTATCCTTATCATATAGACAGTTGTATATCAATTTTTTATACGTATACCCTATTAACACCCGGATTCCGCATACGCAAAAACTTGTCTCCCGCCTTCAAAAAATGTTTCCCTCTTTAAGCGAGTCGTCGACATGGATTGCGTGTGGAGTCGCGATGATATACATTTTAGAACAAGGCACTTGTTTAGCCGTTCATTCAGCCTTGACACAGAGGCAAGGAGGGCAATGGGAAATTACACGACGATCGGCAGCGCAGTTGCAGCAGACAGAACCGATGAGCGGCATATATGACGGTACCCACCCAACACGTTTTGCGCGGTTTGCTGTTCCGGGGTCAATAGAAGAGCATCACAACGGAAACGCAGAGCCAAATGGGGAGTATGGTAAAATCGTGAGGCCTGGAATTCCATCCGGCCACGGGTTACGGCGTGTGCTTGGCGATTTGGAGACATGCGCCGAAGACATCTTCATGCCCTTCACTTCGGAAACGGATGCAGAACAACCGGTGACGGTTTCGGGCTCGAAGTTGCGGTCGTGCAGAGAGGCAATCTTCTCGCTCATCCGATGGTTGGATACTCAACGGAAAGAAATACATGCCCCTGCTGAGAAGAATCCTTATCTACAAAGCAGTGGTTTGCAGGACAGTAATTCTCGGGATGCGGAAAAATCATATGATAAGGGGGAAAACACCATCGAGAAACGGGCTTCAATGGCAAATGTAAAGCAGCAAAGTTGCGAGGTGACCGATTGCCGCCCGTTCGAACGCCCACATGTATACTCCTATGCCATGGAGACGTCAGCAGAGAAATCGAAGATGTGCAAAATGTGCAATCCCCGAAACGAAGAACTCATCAGAAGGCATTTTACGAAGCAACGCCGACGACTGCGGAACATTCTCTATCTTATTCTCGGCATAGTCATTGCAGTATCGAGCGCTGCAACCGTAGTTGTTTGCGTCCGCAAAGCGAAAGGGAAGAGTCGGGACACAAGTCGAGTAGGTCCCGCGTGTAGCAGCGAACAGGGAGGTGTGCTCCCCGGTCTCATATCAACAATCCGAAAATCCAGAGGCGTAAACCGAAGGTCAGATGTGGAAACTCAATCTACAGCGTCACAGCTCAGTCCAGAACAAGATGGCCACATTTCACCAGTCCGACGCAGCGATTCGTTCAAGCTGAGAGGATACGCGGGAAGAACGAGGCCGACTACGCCGACAGCCTGGGATGAGAAATAGGTAGCATTGTTAAACCTTTTCTTTGGTCCAGGTTTGCGAGTGCGATCCACGTCAAACTGATAGATACGGACCCGACTTTGGTTGAGCAGCATTTCGTGGTTTCTTTCGGTGGTTTCAAATGAGTGAATTTTTTTTCCCTCTTTGGGTATTATCCTGGTGTTCTCTGGAGTTATGGCGTAATGAATGTTCCCTGTATTTTTAAGTGATTGCTACTCTCGCCTCGAATGAATTTGTAGAGCTTGAAAAGTTGCTTGATGAACTAATTTTCGGAAATAATACAACGCAAACCCAATAAGGAGCAGTTAGCTAACTAAACAACGCGCTAACCTAACCCCAATCCGAATCTAGCCCTAACTTCCAAGGTTGACCCCTGAATCACTTGAACCAGAGACCTACCCCGAATTCGCAGAAATATACTGTACATGTACGGAGTATTTGTATGTACATACAATACACCCATTCCTTAGATTTCCGTTGGCTTGCCCAGGAATACACGAGTGAGTAACTGATTTTCCTTACCTCTCTTAATCCTCACAATAATATTGACAATATCTGTTGAGTGGTAGTTACCGAGTGTATCCGCCTAAAACATGGGAAGCCCACCATCAAATGCAATTGCCATTCAGTCTCCCCTTTCGACAAATTCTCATATACAAATATATATATATACAAAGGGACAATAATGGGGGAAAGCGCATAGCAGAACAAATTTGGCGGGAAGGTAATGGCGGAAAAAAATTATCCGGGCAAAGACAGTTTTTGCATCCAGAGAGCAATACATAGCATAGGGTCATAACAAGATCAGGTCCGTCAAATAAAATGCCATGAACAATGTGCGCAACAATCCCATACATTATGTTGATGAAATTCTCACCGCGTCGGAAATATGGATTAGAATCAACACCCATTCACAAAAGTGCAAAGAGACCGTGATACCAAAAGCTCATAAATAGATCAAATACTCCTCACCTCAACCCCCCCCAAACAACATCCCCCTACAACTCCCTCGTCCGCTCATCACTCTCCCGAATCCACTTCTCCAAACTCGCCGGCTCCCTAACCCGGAACCCAACCTTGAACGGCTTCGGATCCAACGTAAGCGACGTCTTCGTCGCATTGCAATCCAGCGCGTCGAGGATCGGATGGTCCTTGGGATCCTTCGCGGGTACCATGCGGAAGGCCGTGATCAGCCTGATGAAGGCGGTGTAGAGCTCGCGGTTAGCCAGGTGGGAGCCGGCACACATGCGCGAGCCGGCGCCGTAGGCGTAGTGGGGGGTTCCGGCGCCGTCGGAGGTGTTTAGGTAGCGTTCTGGTTCGAAGAGGTGGGGGTTTTTGAAGTGGGTGGAGTCGTAGTCGGCAGCGTAGGCGTTCTGGAAGGGGAGGGATGCGGTGTTAGGTTTTTTTTTTTTAAATATATATTGTTGGTTTAGGCGTTGGAGATTGGAGAAACACGATGTATGAAAGGGGGAGGGGAATCAGGTATAGATGAACACGGGAATGCATACCATGAAGAATGTAGTACCAGCTGGGATAACTGCACCCTCATAGGGGATATCCTTAATACTGACGCGGGGGAGGCAGATAGGGATGACGGTGAAGAAACGGAGGATTTCTTTGACCAAGGCGGTGATGTAGGCAACTTTTTCTTCGACGAGGCATTTTCCCCAGGCGTCTCCGTTTGGATATACCTTCATGATTTCATTATAGGCGCGGGCTTGAATTTCTTGGCCATGGTCAGAGGCAAGGTACGCGATGCCCATGATTATGTTTCCGGGGACGGTGTCGAGACCAGCAGACACCATGGTTAGGCAGATGGATTTGATCTCAGCTATAATTTTATTTTTTATGTTAGATGGTTATTCTTTATGATGCATGTAAAGAAAAAAAAAAAAGAGGCAAATTAGGAAGAAATTTCAAACCTAGAGAATCATGGTAAATAACTTTTCCTTTTTAGCTTACCTTCATTTAGTTTAGCCTCGGGGTCCTTCAGAATATTTCCAGTGATGCATGGTTTATCTGTGCCGTTCTCTATCCTTTCTCTTAACATATTCAGCAAGAGAGTCAAGTAATTATCTCTCCGTTGGCGGAACTCCTTAGCCTCGGAGTTACGACTTGGCCATAATCGAAGCAAGGGAATATAGTCCTGCCAGTTATTGCTCGTACTCCTGAAGTTGCTAACAATTCGCTCAACATGGCAGATCTCCTTCAGAAGCTCGTTGTCGATGCTTCCATCGATGCGAATTCCGTAATTCAGAGTCAGACTCGTATTCAGCGCAAATCGCTGGAAGTAGGGATTGGGGTCGATGTCTATCTGCCCATTCTTGCTGTCCTGGAGTAGCTCCTTGATACTGACGTTGGATTCTAGGTCAATGATAGGCATGTAAGATTGGACAGCGGGACGGTTGAGAGCAGTGGCGGCAGCCTTGCGACGTCTCTTGCACGACTCATCCCATGGAGATGTGCCGATGGTGAAGCCCTGTGAGCTGGATACCACTGTGTGGAATGTATGGAGTGTTGGGCGGGAGATAAGCGCGGATTGGTGGGTGATCCAGAAGTATTTGACGGAGTCAAAGGTATTGGCAAAGATGATTCTCTAACGCTCAGATAATTTTTATATATCAATATCCGTATATAGAGCACTTCCCCCCTAATGATCTACATAGTTGGTTTATTTAACGCACCTTGTTCCCCAACCGAACCTGGAATACCGCTCCGTATTTCTTCACCCAGCCTGCCGCTACTTTGGCATGCTCCTCCCCAAGCTGAATGAGGTTTCCAAATATCGGAACTCCCGGTATCTCGGTAAGATTCTTTATCTTGGGGACATCGGTACCGTTCAGGTATCTGATCAGAAAGAACGTGATTGCAATCGCAGCCACCGCAACGGATTGGAAACCCATGATGAAAGCGTTATTTAGGGCGAGTGGCAAGTACACTACTGTATGAGAAATAGTGAAATAGCGAAATAGCTAAATAGTAGAGAGTCAGGCCGTAGCGGTCATCTGAACAC